CTCTCTCTCTCTCTCTCTCTCTCTCTCTCTCTCTCTCTCTCTCTCTCGAGGTCAGCCGCTTTAAAAAAATCTTTTTTCTTTCTTTTTTGAAAATTCCGATGATTCATAAGAAATGAAAAAAACATTGATTGAAAAACATCGTTTATCTATCGATCGATCGATAAGTGTGTTTTTGTTTTGTCAAGTTTTTTTTTCTTAACCAAAAAAAACCGAAGGCCATTTTGTAATCAATAATTAATTTATTCAAAAATTCAAAAATTTAAATGAAAAAAAAAACAAAACAAAACAAAATGTATGTTTTTTATATGTACACCGGATATTGAAATCATTTTTCTCTTAATTTTAATCCTTTGCTTCGTTTTTTTTGGGGGGGGGGAATTTCTTTTTTCATCTGATCGTTGTCGATGTTGATGATGGCTGAATTGTCGATGATGATGATGTTGATGTTGAACAACCAACTTGTTGTTGTTGTGAATGTTGTTGTTGTTGTAAAAGTTCATCTTGAATTCTTTGCTGTTCACGTAATACAACATCATAACTTGGTGGTGAATCATTTTGATTCATACGATTTAATGCTGATGGTGATTTTGTTGGATCCAATTGCATTGTTGATGATGATGATGGTGATGAAATATTACGACGTAAACGTCGATTTATTCTTGATGCCATTGTTGATTGTTGATTATTTCGGTTAGAATTTGATGAATGTTGTGTTGATGATGATGATGATGATGATCGAAATAAACGATGACCAACATAAGCAATAATAACAATCATTAAACACATTGGTAATAGGAAAAAAGGCATCATTAGAAAACTTGAAAATGTTGGTCCAACATAAATACATTGTAATGTATGAGAATTTTCCCGAGAATCTGGATTACAAATACAATGTGAACGGCCAGAATGTTTTGAACGATGACAAATACGATAAAAATCAGAAAATATATGACAACGTTCATGACTATGACAATCTTCAGGTTTTTGTTTACAATGTGTCCATTGTTCATCTGGATAATGATTTGGTCGACAAACATATAAACCATTACGACAAACTAATGATTGTTTATGTAATTCATGTTCATTTAATTGATAATCAACATCATCATTTAAACATGATTGTCCTAAATATGATACACAACGTTGTCGTTTTGGATGAAAAAACCAACCATATTGACAATCATTACATTTCAATGTTGTTTGATTACATTTTCTATGTGGATCAATTTCCTTTGAACAATCTTGATCTTGTTGACAATTTAAACTTTTACATTGATTTTTTTCATGATCAAAACCATTTATACATAAACATTGATAATTATAACAAATTAATGTTTCATTCGAACAACCATCTAATGTTGGATTACAATAGGAACCAAGTTTTTTCGCTGTTGTTGTTGATTCATTTGATGCATTTACCATGATGATGGTAGCCATCATGATCAAAAAGATGGCCATCGATGAATAATTCATGTTTCTTCAATGATTGATTGAAAATCGATCAAAAAAAAAAAATATATGATTTTGGATTTGGAAAAATTACTTGTTTGTTGAATGGATCAACAATAATGATTAGCTTTTTTTTCTTTTAGTGGTTAGTTTTCTGGTTACAGAGTGTTTGTTTTTGTTTTTTTTCCGATGAAAATCACACAAAAAATGTATCAAACAAACAGATCTTTTGATTTGAAAAAAAAACTGTATCAAACAAACAATATTGTTGGTCGGTGGCGTTAATTTCTATTATTTCAAAACCTCGATACGAAATGAACGATAAATGTACCGATGTTTGTGTTTGTGAGCTTCGATATCGATTGATGATTGCTTTATTTTTTTGAAAAAGCCAATTGAGATTTTTTTTATACTTTACTTTTTCATTTTTATTCTTTCATCATCAGCATTTTGGTTATCACTAATGAAAACAAAGAAAAAATAATCAAATTTTTTTTTCTTCGTATCCATATCGTTACTAATGATAAAAAGATAATAAAAAAACAAAATTTTAATCCGTATGCTTTGTCTGTTGCTGTGTGTTTGTGTTTTTTTTGTTTTTTAAAGCAAATACCTGAAATAGATGTTTTTTTTCTTCTTCTTCTTCTTTGAATTTCAATTTCCCAATGAAATAATACAATAATCATCCTGTGTGAATTGGATCTCGAGATATGATTTTTTTAAAATCAAATAATAATAATAAAATTCATTTGATGATGACGTTTTTGTTGGTTTGGTTTGGTTTGCGTTAATTAAGTTGTTTTGATTTTTGATTTAATCTCTCGTCAAGATCAATATCATTTCTTTTTGACATTTTTAACATTATTGAACTTGACAATGATGATAAAATTGAATATTAGCCAAAATTAATTATAATGATAATTTTNGTATCAAACAAACAGATCTTTTTTGGATTTGGAAAGAAAAACTGTATCACAAACAAAAAAAAACAAAATTGTTGATCGGTGGCGTTAATATTTCTATTATTTCAAAAATCTCGATACGAAATGAACGATAAATGTACCGATGTTTTTGTGTTTGTGAGGTTTGTGAGCTTCGATATCGATCGAATGATGATTGCTTTATTTTTTTGAAAAAGCCAATTGAGATTTTTTTTATACTTTACTTTTTCATCATCAGCATTTTGGTTATCGCTAATGAAAACAACAAAAGAAAAAAAAAATAATCAAATTTTTTTTCGTATCCATATTGTTGTTGTGTTGCTAATGATTAAAAAGATAATAAAAAAAAATAAAGCAATTTTAATCCGTATGCTTTGTCTGTTGCTGTGTGTTTGTGTTTGTGTTTTTTATCAAAACAAATACCTGAAATAGATGTTTTTTTCTTTCTTCTTCTTCTTATTTGAATTTCAATTTCCCAATGAAATAATACAATCATCATCCTGTGTGAATTGGATCTCAAGATTTGATTTGATTAATCAAATAATAAAATTCATTTGATGATGACGTTTTTTTTGGTTTGGTTTGCGTTAATTAAGTTGTTTTGATTTTTGATTTAATCTCTTCAAGATCAAGATTATTATTATTATTATTTTTTGACATTTTTTTTGATATTGAACTTGACAATGATGATGATGATAAAATTGAATATTAGCCAAAATTAATTATAATGATAATTTTCCATTGTACCGATAAAAATTTTATGATGGTGGTGGGTGATGATAATATAAATTACAATCACCACCACCATAAACAATATCAGGTTTTATCTTTTTCGGTGATCAAACAATAAGGATCTTCTTCTTTTTTTTTTGGTAAAAAAAAAAATCATTCGAAACTGTTAACCGCAAGCGCAATTCGAATGATTCTTGATTTGCTCGATTTTTGTTTTTCCAGAACAATCAAAGTGCGTACGGAAGAAAAACAAACATTGCTTTTTCTTCTGTTGTTGTTTACCTCTTTATCGATATTGTTTACCTGTTTTGTTTTGCTTTTTGTTGTTGATTTTTTATTTTTGGTCCTTGATTTCATTGGTTGCACCGCGGTGAAAAAAAAAAGAAAGAATTTAAATATAGTGTTGATCATGTGAATTTGTCATAAATACCTGACTAATTGGAAAAAAATTAATGGTAAACATGGTTATGATTTTTCAAAACGTAGTCAAAAAAAATCAAACAACAATCCCATTACAATGTAATTGAAATTCAAGGTTCACATCAAACCAAAAAAAAGGGATGTTAACAATAATAATAATAAAATCATATAAAAATTTTTGTTGTTGTTGTTGTTGTTGTTGTACTACAAAAAGTCCTAATTGTTGCAAGTAGTCTATTTTATATTAGTGTAACACCTTAATGATAATTATAATTAAAAAAAATTAAATCCTTTTTTCCAGAAAAACCTTGAATTTTGGCTTTTTTTCCCGTTTTCGAATGATTTTTTTTTTCTTGACAAAAATCAACAGGTTGAAATAGCCGGATTCATGATCGCCATCTATCGATTGATAATCAAAACAACCAGAATAACTTGTTTGATGTGAGCAGCAGCACACTCACCATGGTTACAATTGAACTTGATGTTTCGATTCGGTGTTCGATGACGTCAAAAATTTTTCGATTTTGATTCAGAAAAAAAAAGAAATTCAAACCAAATCTAATCTTTATGTTTGAAAAAACATTTCCTTGTGAATTTTTCCTCGTCATTTTGGCCGCACCAAAAAAAAACATGACCACAAAAGAGATTTTTGATATCAAAAATATTGATGTTGATGATAATCAACAACAACAGCAACAACAACAAAACAATGATAACAACACCGGTGATGATGCTGATGATGTTTATGATTTTGATGTTGATGAAAATTTTACCACCAATAACGACAAAAATAATTATAATTCAATGTATAATGTAATAAAACCTCGACAATCAATTCGAAATCGTCGTAATCAACGATTTAATCAACAATTTAATTATAATAATAAATCAACGACAGAAACCAATTCAAAATCATATGATGATTCATTAAATTCTATTGAATTTATTGAAGAATTAAAAAGACGTTCGAATTATAATCATAGTGGTGGTGGTGGTATACTAAATTCATTATATTCAATTTATATGTGGCTTATACAAACAATAACATGGATTCAACGATCCATCATACAATATTTACATTATTGTCATATTACGATACGTTTAGCCATCTATTTACTAATGATTATTATTGCCGGTTCGATTAAAGATTATGTTGGTTTAGATCCACCTGATCAAGATGTTTCCATATTACCATTATCAATATTGAATTTTATACATCGTTATTTACGTTCATCAAAACGTTCATTTTTAAATGTTTATTTTGTTAAATTAGGTTGGTTTTGGACATTGATCGAAACGATACCATTCATATTGATTACACGTTTAATGATAACAATACGTCGAAGAAAATCCGAACATAATGATAATAATTGTAAATTGATAAAAATGAAAAATTATAATACAATTAAATCAAGTACTGGTGGTGATGAAATTGCTCAACAACAACAACAACAAAATAATGTCGATCATAATCAACATCAAATACCATCACCATCGATTATTATCAAATCATTTTTTCATGATTATCTTGATGAATTAACCGGTCCATTAATACGATTATCATTAGCAACAATTGTTTGGTATTTTTCAGTCGAATCATTTGTTTATATTGGTAAATTGACTGGACATTGTCAATCCAATGATAAATGTAAGAAAAAGAAAAAGATTTTTTTCTATCATTGTTAACAAATTACTATTATATTTTCACAGTACTTGTTTATCTTCATACAACAATTGATGATTGTCGACGACAAGGTAATCGTTGGATACATGGCCTTGATATTAGTGGACATATATTTTTGATGACATTTTCCAATCTAATTTGTATTGAAGAATTACGTTATCTATTTTATCGTTTTGAAGAATTTCATGAATTTCATCGTTATATAAAATTTAATCGTGAACGAACAGAAAATTTTATCGAACCATATCGTTTTCGTTGGAATTCATCAATACATTGGTTAGGATTAATTTTAACATTAATCATTACAATTATAACATTAATATGGGATTATATGATGCTGCAGACAATGTTTTTCTATCATAATTTAATACAAAAAATTCTTGGATTTTTATGGGCTATTATAATGTGGTTTATAATCTATAAAATTATTACCGGATGGATATTCAAACCATTGAACATTGAATTCGAACGTAAACGATAATAACGTCGTTATTGAATAGTACAAAATAAACACAAAAAAATTTTTTTAGTGCGCTCAACAAATATTCCAAAAAAGAAAAAATTCTTTTTAAAAAATCATAACCAAAATTAGATCGATTAATTGTATTTATTAAAAAGAAAATAAAATTGATACAAAACAAAAAAAATGAAAATTTCACGTCTAAAATTTTTACTTTATTCATTACAAATATTAAGAATAATTATTGTTTTTATTCCACAATTTGGTTATATACAACCGGATGAATTTCATCAATTTACCGAACCATTAGCGGAAAAATTTCTTCATGTTAAAACATTAAAATGTTGGGAATTCACTCGAGATCAACCGATTCGTTCGATGGTCATACCACAGCTATTGATTGGACCAATGTTTTCAGCATTTTATCATGCATTTCATTCGACATTTTATCAAACATTATCAAGTTATTGGATATTAGTATTACCACGTTTTATTATGGTTTGTATCTACCAAACTAAAAAAAGAAGAAAGAAAACTTTCATTAATTTTCTTTCTTATTCGAAATCCTAAATAGGTTCTGTTCAGTTTTCTAATCGATATAGTATTGAATCGACTAGTCACAATCGTTAATTTTGGTGATCGATCTTCATCACCGGCAACATTGAAAATATATACCGCTTTGATACATTCATCAACATATTTAGCATTCACATATTATAATCGAACATTTACAAATACAATCGAAACTATATTGTTTTCATTATTATTATTAGTCATTTTGGAATCATTACAACAATCATCGAAACATTGTCAACGATATAAAACAATCGTATCGATAAAAATTGGTTCATTATTATCGATTGGTTTTTTTAATCGTCCAACATTTGTTATTTTTGCCGCTATACCTTTGATGTTTTGGATTTGTTCCATTGATTTGAATCGAAAACCAAAATCAATCATTATTGAATGGACAAAGAATATCTGCCGAATTTTACCATCTTTTTTGATTGTATCATTAATATTTATCATTGGTGATAGTATCTACTATGATCGATTAGATATAATGGATATATTCATTGATCCAATGAATATAATCAAACATCTAGTGATAACACCATGGAATTTTATTTCCTATAATATTTGGCCATCAAATTTAGCCAATCATGGATTACATCCAATATATTTTCATTCATTCGTTTCGATGCCATTAATGTTTACATTATTAACAGCCATCATTTATCTAGATTTTGTTCAAAATATTTGGAAATTATTAATCAATAATCATCAAGGTATTATACAAATTTTTAATGATTTTCTAACAAATGAAAATCAATTTCGTTTTCGTTGTTTACTACAAATGACAATATTTATATCGATATCAATATTATCATTGATTCCACATCATGAACCAAGATTTTTATTACCATTAATCATTCCAATCATATGTTTATATGGTAATCAATTAGCCCGATTAATGCAAAAATTTCAATCATTATTGGCTATTTGGTTGATCCTGCAGCTGGTATTGATAATATTTTATGGTTGGATTCATCAAGCCGGTATTATACGATCATTATTATTTCTACAAAATGAACATCACAATGAACTAATCGTCGGTGATGATTTACAATCAACAACGACGACAACACGTTTAATATTTACAAGAATGTATTTACCACCACAACACTTGTTGCTTATACCTGATGATGATGATAATCAGTATTCAAAAATTCAAATTGATGATTATTCAATCGAATCAATACAGCCATCATTACAATCGATTTTTGATTCGAAAAATTCAACAAAAATATTTCTAATAATGCCATCATGTTATGATGAAATATTAAAATCAATGATTATCGATTATGAACATCAAAGTAAATCATCATCAACGAATCAAATTGAAATGAAATTATTACGTAAAGAATTTCCAAATTTTAATGCTGAAGATTTGGATCAATGTTTATGGCCAACAACAATGATCAACAACAACAACGATGATGATAATTCAACAATCATTGAACAATGGACAAAACGAATACGACAAACATTTGGAATGAGTATCTGGCTAATCAAATTAAATTCATTTCAAATATGAATCAATAAGAAAAAAAAAGATGTTGTTTCTTTTCTCTCTATTTTTACAGTCAAAAAAATGAAAAAATAAAATGTAAATTTTTCTTTGAAAAATTATTAACAATTTGATCAATCATCATGTTTGATCATTCGTCTTTAGTTCAACATCATTTGTTATGCAATCACATTATTTTGAATATTATTGTTTTGATCTAATTTCATCATCATCATCATCTGGATTTGCCAGTAAATTTTCTATAAATATTTACATAGAAAACTGCTCAAACAAATTTTTAGACAAGAAAAAAAATTTTTTTGTTTTGTTTGTTTATTCTATAATTCAAAATTATTATCGTAAACAAAAAGAATTTATATTTACTTGCTTACTTATACACATACCACACCTAAAAATTATTGAGGATTTTATTATCATTATTGGATTTTTTTTCAATCAGAAGTTATCTCCCGACAACGGATAATCACTATGGTTATTATTTTTTGTTGGATTTGATTATGATGATGATGATGATGATGAGGAAGTGTAGCAACATCTGTTATCGATTTTTTTTGCTGGTGGTTCCATGAGTAAAAATCATCATCATTGAAAATCGATTTCAATCCAGAGAGGAGAGAAAAACTGAATAAATGTTATTATCATTTATAAATCTAAAATCAATTCGTAAAAGAATTTATTTTAGAAAAATGGAAATGTCTTTACCATCGACAACAACAACAACAACAACATTACCATCATCGTCATCACCGTCGTGGTCATCATTATTATCATCGGAAAAAGATTACAAACAATCATCATCATCATTTGTTGCTCAATTCAAACGACTATTTCGACAATTACGACTACGAAGACGACGATGGCCAAAATTAAATTGTTATTCATTGATAACTATATTTATACTAATGTTTATATTACCATTTTTATTAATATATCGTCTTTATTGGTTTCGTGATTTTGTCTATTTAATTCGGTAAATATTAACCGTTAAAAAAATTTTTCCGTTATTAAAATAAACAATTTTTTTCCACACTATTTCGATCCTCATCATCCACCGGAACAGGCCAACATTCGATCATAAAGTAACGTTCAAAAATGTGATTACACATTATCATATGGCTACTGCTGATAATGATACCGATGATCAGTCATTATGTTCATTGCATGGATGGATTTCAAGAAAACAACAGCAACAATCTGATCACAAAACATCATCAAACATCAAAGTAATTGATGCATTTTTATTTTCATTAGAATTTGATTTACTTGAAATACGTTTGCGTGAATTATGGCCAGTTGTTGATATATTTATTGCTATGGAATCAGATTATACATTTAGTGGTCGAAAAAAACCATTATGGTTAAAAGAAAAATTCCCTGAACGTTTTCAATGGGCATCTGAAAAACTGAAAATATTTCATTGTAATCAACTTCAGCCATTAGAATCCAATGAAAATCCATTTGTTAATGAAATTCGTATGCGTAATTGTATGACATGGACAATACGTTCATTAGCTAAACCAGAAGATTTAATAATTGTTGGTGATGTTGATGAAATACCAAGACAATCAACAATTGAATTATTTCGTAAATGTATTGGTTATCCAGAAATTGTACATCTACAAATGAAAACATATTTTTATTCATTTGAATTTTATTATTCATCGGATGATTTTTGGCAATCCAAAATACAGATTTATGATCGAATTAGGTTTTATTATAGCCATCAAAAAGGTAGTGATTATCTTCTTGCTGATAGTGGTATGTTTTTTGTTTTTCACTAATTACATCCTAAATCCTAAATTAATCCAATTTGAACTAAAAAAAAACAGGCTGGCATTGTACATTTTGTTTTCGTTATTTACAAGATTTTCGTTTCAAAATGACAAGCTATTCACATAATGATCGTTTAATGAAACGTTATTATCTGTTGGAAAGTGAAGAAATACAGCGACGTATTTGTAATGGTTTAGATATTTATGATATGTATCCAGAAGTTTATACATTCAAAGAAATGATACAAAAATTTGGTCCAATTCCACGGACAAATAGTTTTGTCGATATACCCAATGCATTGGTAAAATATTCGAAAAAATTTTCATTTCTATTAAAAGGAAATTGTATACGTGAAGATTATCAACGTGAATCTGTGGCTTAATCAGGATCACACGCACTGAGGAAAAACATTAATCAAATTTTTTGCACACAAGGCTGATCAGAGATGTGTAAAAGGTTGTGAAAAAGAAAAGATTGCCTTCAAACAAAAATATATTTGTGGGAAATATTTGTTGTTTTCCACATCCCACCACGAAATATCTCCACAACAAATATGGAATCTAAAAAATTACAAAAAATCCTTCGAAATTTGAATGTGATTTTTCATTGAAAACATAGATGCACAGATTTTTTACAAAAATTTTCAAATTTGTAAAGATTTTTTTTATAATTTTTTTTTATTGATAATTATGTGTTTTGTTTTGTTACTATTATTTGTTATAAACAAATTTTTTTATAAAATAATAAAATTAATGTAAAATTAAGTAAAAATAATTGCATATAATTATATTTATTAATAAAAAATACATTACCACATGTTAAACCAAATTGATTTGTTGATAATGTTTGTATAAATAGATTTAAACGTATTGTACGACGATTATTATTAGTGTTTAAAATCAATGAATTGCCAGTAATCAATTGTTGTTGTTGTTGTTTCCGTTGTAATAAATAATATTGCCGCTGTGCATTATAATTGGATAACCAACTACAACATAATTGATTTAATTGTGGAAATGATGATACTAATGAATAGATTACTGTACTTGAACCAAATGCTGATAATAATAATAGAATGAATAATGAATTAAACAGGTTCATTTGAATTTGACGGCCATAAAAAAGACTACAAAATATTATTGAACATTTTGATATTAGTTCAATGGATAAAAATATTGATCTCAATGAATAATTCAAATGTAATGTTTCATTATATAATTTTATATATGGACGATGAAAATAATACCAAAATAAACAATCAATAAACATTATATTTGAATGATTAATTTGCTGTTGCGGTTGTCGTTGTTTACGTTTTAAAATATTATTCAAATGATATAATAATTGTTTAAATTGTAAACAAAAAAATTCAATACTAAACATTAAATGTTTCATCGATATGAATAGCTGACCAAATGTATAGCTAGTATGAATGAAAACAAATATTGCTATACAAATAAACAGGATAATATTTTGTAAATAATAATGACCATTTATAAATGATTTAATTGTAAAAAATATAATCATTATGAATATAATTGTTAAACCAAATGTAAGGATTTTATAAATCATATTTGTAAATAAATTTATAATCAATATAAAACGTGAATATTGTTGATGAAAATATCTGAATAAATTTGAATCATTATAATTAAAATATTTTATAAATATATAATTAACATGACATTCATAACATAATGTACGTTTAAATACAATAAAACACATATGTTCCAATAATAATAAATTACAAATAGCAAATTCAGCTAATAAACGACATTCTTGTATATGTAAAATTTCATTTAAATTTTGTAATGAAATTGGCAGGCCAATTAAATTCGGATCAATAACTAATATAATTAAAAATGAAATATTTATTATTGCAGCAATTGTTATAATAATTGTACGGCGAAATGTTTGAAATTTCATTGGTATTTGATGATTTTGATAATCATGAAGATTATATTCTAAACGTACTGCATATTGTTTCCATGAATGAAAACAATATTTCATTATTTTTGATATTGAAATTGGTTTTGGATATTTTATTTTTGTCCATAATGTTGTTGGTGATAATTTAGTTAAGTTTGAATAGAATTTATCAATGGATTTCATTATCATTGGTTTCTTGATGGTAACAGTCAACAACAACAAAAACAGCCAACAGCAAATACCAAGTTGCTCGAATCAACAGAATAAACTGTTCAGTGATTTTTGGTTTGTTTTGGGAAATCAGAAATATTCAAAAATGGCTATATTTATTCCGATTTTTTTTTGCCAATCAATTTATTGAATTTCAAGAAAAACAAAGAAAAAGAAATATGCACCAATGAAGACAAAATTAATGTTTAAAATATGGAAATAATGAAAACAAAAAGAAAGGAAGAAATGCTTATTCAAGTTTTTTTTTTGATTAAAAAAAATCAATAATATTTGGAAAATATTAAAGTTCAAATTTGGAAAATGTAATGTTTGTTTTTACTTTGTTTGCTTTGGTTTTTGGTTTTATGTCATACAGAATTTTTTATAAAACAATAAAACTAATTGAAAATTCATTAAAAATATTTCAATAAATTTATATTTAGTTAAAATAAACATTTGTCCACAGGTAAAACCTAAATAATTATCCGACATTGATTGAGCAAAAAGATTAGAACGAATCGCGTTACGTATTGATTGATTTCTGCCATTATGTTGTTGTTGTCGTTGTTGTTGTTGTTGTTGCTGCTGATATTGTAATCTTGCTAGCCAATTCATTATCGATAACGAACCACAACGATTATAATATGGTAATTGCGAGGCTTTTGAATATAAAACATTCGTTGCTATTAATGCCGATAAAAGATATATCATTAAATTTGTATTGAATAAATTCATTTCGATTTGTTTACTTAAAAATATACTACAATAAACAATTGTAATTTTGGATATTAATTCAATTGTAAAAAAAAATATACTAATCATTTGATTTAATATAAAAATATCTATATTTAATTTATCATATTTTTTTATAAATTGATAATATTGAATTATTGAATTAAAGCGATTTTTTTGTAATGATAATGTTAAACGTTGAATTAATTGTAAAATTTGTAATTTTAATAATGACATTAAAAATTCAAAATAATGAAATGTATCGAGAATTTGACCAATTAAATGATGACAACGTATCAATAAATTGATTAACAACAAGATGTAGATTATCAATGTTATAAATGTCATATTATTATCATCATTTATAAACAGATGAATAAATGTAAAAATTCCGAATAAACCAGATATTAATAAAATGATTAATAATATTTTATTCATTGTTTTGGAAAAAATCATACCCAAACGAATAAAACGTGTTAAATATTGACGATAATTATTGTCTAATTGATTATCATCAAATTGATAACAATATTTACGAAACAATTTATTACCATAAAAATTATAGCCAAGAATTTTACGAAAAAATTCAAACCATTGATATTCCAATATAATTAATACGGATATTTGAAATTGAAATAATAAATCAACACGTTCAAAATGAAATATTTGTTCAAATGATTTCAGTATTTTCAAAAGAAAATAACTTGGATATTGAGCTAGATGAACATTGAAAAATATATAGATCCATGAATTCAATGTAATCCATATTGCTGATCGAAATGTATGATATGACCATTGAATTTGTTGTCGATCATAATCATCTAATGAATATTCTAAACGAAATAAATAGATTTTCAGATATTCAAAACAATCTTCAATAACATTGCCAATACGAATATAATTTGTTGGATAAATGTTTTGTTGAATAAATTTTTGGATGAATTTCTTGATTGCAGCCATGATTTGTGTCTGTGTGTGTTTGTAGAATATTCAACTTTTATAATTTTTTTCTGATCTGCCAAAAATAGAATAACTAGTTCCCCAGGCCAAAAAAAAGGAATTCGGGAAATTGAAATCCTGGGACAAAAAAATTCATCAATTTGCTCATCCAAATTGAATTTGAACATTTGAAATTCAAGCACCGGGTTTTTTTCACTTGGAGAAATATTTTTCTTTTTTTCATAATTTGAAAGTGTCGCAAAAATTGTGCAAGTAACACCAACAAAAAAAAAGTACAAAATACATAATTAAAAATATCAAGGAAAGAATATCTTATATTGATTATAATGTTATAAAAGAGAAAAAAATTTGACAAAAATTTTATTCAAGAAAGAGAAAAAATGATTATTGAATTTTTATTTTATGCTAAACAAATTTTTTTATAAAACAAAATAACCAATACAAAATTCATTAAAAATATTTCAATAAATTTATATTTAGTTATAATAAACATTTGTCCACAGCTAAAACCTAAATGATTATCGGACATTGATTGAGCGAATCGATTCAAACGAATTGTATTACGTATTGATAATGATTGTAATATATTTCTATTATGACCATTATTATTCAATTGTTGTTGTTGTTGTTGATATTGTAATCGAGCCAACCAATTCATTATCGATAAACAACCACGTCGATTATAATGTGGAAGATGTGATGCTTTTAAATAAAGAATATTTGTAGCAATCAATGCAGATATAATATAAATAATAAGACTAGTATTGAATAGATTCATTTCAATTTGTTTACTTAAAAATATACTACAATATACAATCATAATTTTTGATCCAATTTCCATACAGAAGAAAAAAACACTGATCATTTGATTAAAGATGATTACATCTTGATTGATAATATTATATTTTCTTATAAATTGACGATAAATTTTTGAATTAAAACGAACAAATTGATTTAATAATCGTAATTGTAAAATTATTTGTAAAATTTGTAATTTTAATAATTGAATTAAATATAATGAATAACGATATAAATCTAATATCTGAATGATAAGATAATGGCTACGTAATAATAGATTGATCAATAACATGATATAGAATATCATCACAATGAATGTTATGTCATCATTGATGAATACGGAAATGAATGTAAAAATTCCATAAATACCGGATAATATCAAAATGATAAACATTATCCGAATTATTATTGTCGATATAATATGATATATATGAATGTAACGAGTAAAATTTTGACGATATTTTAATTTTAATTGATTATCATAATAATAATAATAAATTTTATTAAACACACGCTGCCCGAAGGCATTTGTGCGATAATATTAAAGAAAAATTAACAAAGTACAAAAAGAAAACAAAAAATTATTGCGAAGAGATACATTTTAAATGATAGTAATTTTTACAAAAAGAATTAAAAATGTGAAAATTGAATTTAGATGAAAAAAATTCGGACAAATTTGAAAAACTATGTATTCTGATAGAAGAGAACAATGGACAAGTTAGCAAAACATGTATTGAGTCCTGTTCATGAAAGCCACAATCACAAGAAGATGTATGAAAAAGATTGAACCGATGCAAATAATAATTAAAGTTACCATGTCCACTAACAAATTGCATGTTGAAGAAGTTTGGCTGGAAAACTTTTGGGATATTGGACGAATCAAAAAACATCTTAAATGTGCAATTTGTATTGGTATAATAACCGGTGATAAGTTTACTGGCAATATCAGAACGGACATATTTTCGAATAGATAAATCATCTATATTTTTGGTTGAGTTCAACAACAAGCAATAATCGGAAAGGTGACAAATATTACAAATAACCGCAACGATGTTTTTCGGAGTAGTACAATACGCATGAGTGGTTTTGATCAAAAATCTATGTTGTAGCGAATCCAATTTATTTTTTTGCTTCAGATTAATATGCTCAAACCAAATATCACAAGCATAAGTAATAGCAGGTCTAACCATACCCTTAAAAAGGTTTAATCTTTTTTTAAAAGAGATGCCCCACGTATTACTAATTAATGCAAAAAAAATACGGAAAAGATTTTGGATTTTATCAATAATATTATTGATGTGTTGAGAGAAATTCAATTTATTTTTAAAACGATGATTGCTAAACGTTAATCCCAAAATTTTGATTGATGATGAAGAATGAATAGTGTGGTTACGATGATGAATTATTGGATGATTTTTTTTGAAAAGGTAAAGTATATTGGTTTTACTGTGATTGATAACCAATTTACGGCTTGCACACCAATCTTCAATAAAATTTAAACATTCAATAATTTTAGAATTCAATAATCTTGTATTAGTTGCCCAACAGACAATAGTGAGATCATCAGCGAATGCAATCAGTTTCGAATCAACGATATTATATTTACATAATAAGTCGTTCAATAAGATTATCCAAAGAAGAGGAGACAAAGCTCCTCCCTGTGGACATCCGCATGACAATGATTTGGACGCTGAATAATTACCATAATTAAAAATAATTGATCTTTCAGAAAGATATGACTTCAACAATAATATGAGATTGGCCGGCACATTTGCTTTATCCAGTTCAAAAATGATGGCAGGCCACCATGCTTTGTCAAACGCAGAGGCAATATCTAGAGCAATGATGGATGTTTTCATAGTACTTTTATAAAGCAAAGCCGTACTAGTGATTGAAGACAAAGCAGATGATGTTGATTTATTTTTTACAAAGCCATGTTGATTTGGATTTAAAAGATGACAAAATTGATCATAAACCTTGATTTTAAGAATTTTTTCAAAAATTTTTGCTAAATTAGAGATTAAACTAATAGGACGATAGCTTTTAGTATCATCATAATCATTTTTGTTCGGCTTTGGAATTATACGCACACCAGCACATTTCCAATCATACGGAAAATAGTGTAAACCTAGACACTTGTTGAACAGAGCACAAATAGATGGTGCAAGAAGATCACATGACGATTTTATCATTCGATTTGAAACATAATCCAAACCAGGTGCCTTTTTAACATTCAAATTTTTGATTATTAGAATGATTTCATCAGCAGAAATAAGAACATCAGAACTATTGTTGAGAACAAGATGATGATGACGAATTGATGCAGCAACTTGATTATCACTAGAAGAATCATCATCCGGAAACATTTGATTAAGAATATGATTCATTTTTTGTTGTTTGTCAATAGCTGGTAAGCAATCAATCATTGGGATTCTGTTATTTGGTTTACTAATCAATAATTTTAATAATTTGAATGTATTACCAAAATGATTGACAGAATCAGCTTCTTCAAGAAAACTTCGAAAACTATCCTGTTTGGCTTTGCGAATACATCGGACATAATTATTACGAACATTTTTGTAAAAATCATAAGAAATTTGAGAATTATTACGATAATAGAGATTTTTGATATATTGAAAATATCTTTTTTGATTATCAAGAGATTTGGTCCACCAAGTAAATTTTTTAGGATAATTTGAAGGTTTACGAACATTAAATGATTTATATGCAGCTTCAATATAAATCTTAGCAAGTTTATTGGTGGCTACATTTAAATCACTATGGTTAGAACAATCGTTGATGAATTGGTTTAGTTCAGAGATAGAATGTTGATCAATATTGTTATTATAACATTCCATGTTTTCTTCAATAAACTTCCATGTTGACTTAATATGGTGATTTTCAAAATTATCATGAGATGAAACAATATCAAATTTAATTGTTTCATGATCAGATAGTTCAGTGAAACGGGTAACATGCCAATTATAGATATAGCTGTAAGCCATAGAATTTGTGATGGTTAAATCAATAATGCTAGCTTGACGACAGGTTTTGGATTTATTATTTAAAATGATGAGATTATGTGAATCAATAACATTCTTAAGTCTATAACCATTACTATTCGTTACTGAATCATACCAATATGGATTTCTGGCATTAAAATCCCCACAAAGAATTATGGGACAGTTGGGATATGAAGATAAAAGTGAATCAAAAAAATTACAATGAGTATCACAAAAGGTGCCAGGATGAATATATACATTAACAAAGACCAAATACTTAGATCTAGTCTGGATCAATATTGATGAAGCAAAAAAATTAGTGAAATCATGAAGGTGTTGGATAATTAATGAATTATTGATGACAACAATCGCACTGTAAATCGTATCATTGAATGGATGACTGTGAAAGACTCTAGAAGACAAGGAAAATGGAACACGATTGTTAAATACAAAAGGTTCCTGTAAAGCCAATATATCAATAGAATCTTGCATGATTGAATATCTAAGCTCATTATGTGCAGTTGGACTTTTACGGAGATTCTGTTGAATAACTTTGATCCTATTGAATTTGAATATTATTGGAAGAGGATGTTTGTTGAGATTCTTCTACAATCATGTCGGTAATTGGTGATGATGAAACAGATGAATAAACAGGAAGATCAACATGTTTAAAAGCAGTTATTTGAAGAACACGATCAATTTGTCTTTGATACAACGGGCAATCAGCATGATTAGGTTTGTGACACAGAAGCGATTGTTGCACGTTATCTTTAAAGTATGTGACACAATTATGACATTTATGAACCTTAGAACAAGTATGATTTCCTTCAGTACCACAATCAGCGCAAACTGGGGAATTTTTTCGCGGACATTCATTCGATTTGTGCGAATTAAATTGGAAACAATATTTGCATTGTCTAACAAAAACACGATGATGAAATTTGATCGCCTCGATATCAGTATATAAATAGTCCATATCCGAGATCAATTGGAAAATTTTTGGTGAGACTCGAATAACAACATCACGAGAATGATCATTCGAACGAAACTCAAATAAGACTTTTATTTCAGATTGCAAATTATTGAGTTGATCATTTACGTTAGCCAAAATAGAAGGAATATCGTCATATTTCGTTAATTTACTGACTTTGCGTAGTACTATTGTCGGTCCAAGTGGTTTAGGAACATACACATCGGCTATTTGAGTCAATTGATCAATTGTTTTAAAATGATTAATTAAAGTGTCCAGATCATCAGTATTGGGTAGTTTGAAAACATTCCCTTTAGCATTCCGTAATATTTTGTTTATTTTCAAATTAGGCTTTTTTTTCCTAATTTCATGAAGTTCTTGGTTTACCTTCGAGTTAATATCAGCAATGCTAGTACCTTGTTTGGCTTTTATTACTAATGTCAATTCATTATTCAAAGGTTTAACTTCTTTAGGAGGACGTAATTTTTGACTAGCAATCACATTATATGGGATGGGGGTGGACAATTTATTTTTAATTTCAGCCAATATATTTTTTGTTTCGACAGAATCAATAACCAATTTATTATTAAGATCAAGAAATAATGACTTCATATTTTCAGCAGCTGTTACAATAACATTAGCGTATTTGCTTAGCGACCGTTTATCAATATCGTTACAACATTTATGGATGATATTGAAGCTATCAAAGAAATCCAAATCGAAAATTGCATCAGTATTATCGATATAATGATCCAAACCAGTATCAGAATTAGTAGAATTCTTAGGAATCTTAACCGGACCACTGTCCAGGTCGGAATCCGACAAGCCAGGATTAATTAAATTTTGATTAGACCTCTTTTGAGGCATGGTATTGTGAGCACAACAAGCAACAGCTTGTAGCCCAATCGGCGTTTGATTATACCAAAAATCCAAATATAATTTAACCAAAAGTATGCAGAAGACACAGAATAAAGAATAAAGAATATTTTCAGCAAAATTCTACCAAAATTTAGCACTTGAAGAAACAAACAAATTAAGAAAATTATAGAAAAAATAGACACAAAATTAAACACACGTGTTTACTCTTCGGCTATTTCGACTTATTTTTAATTGATTATCATTAAAATAATAACAATATTTACGTATAACATTATTAGTCGGGAAATTATAATGAAGAATTTTTTGAAAAAAACCAAAACATAAATATTCAAGTATAAGAAATATTGATATTTGAAATTGAAATAATAAATCAACACGTTCAAAATGAAATAATTGTTCGAATGATTTCAATATTTTCAAAATAAAATAGCTTGGATATTGAGCCAGATGAAATGTGAAAAATATATTAATCCATGAATTCAATGTAATCCATATGGTTGTACGAAATGTTTGATACGATCGTGGAATTTGTCGCCGTTCATAATCATCCAATGAATATTCCAAACGAAATATATAGATTTTTAAATATTCAAAATAATCTTTGAAAACATTGCCAATATGAATATAATTTGTTGGATAGATATTTTGTTGAACGAATTTTATTATTGCAGCCATAATTTTAACCACAACAATACGATTGAATGCTGATAAGTTTGTGTGTGTGTGTAGAATTTTTGTTTTGCTAACCAAATTTCATTCTGATTTTTTGTTTCTAATTGATCCGTTTCACACAGACAAATTAAAAATGAAAAAAAGATTTCAATCAATTATGAAACAGACAAAATTTATAGGAAAATTTAGCCGAAAAAAAAACAAACGTCGTTGTTTTCAATTGAATTTTGTTGTTGTTGTTGTTGTTGATGAAGAATCAGGTCTTCATTACCAGTAAATTAATTAAAAATTTGTTTTTTTTTAATTAATCGAAAAATAGTGAAAAATATTCATATGAGAGGACAACCAAACCACAACCAAATAAAAAAAAGTACAAAATTCATTATAAATAATTTTAAAAGTTTATATCAAGGTAAGAATGAAAGAATTGATTTTTTATTTAATAAAATGTAAATTATTCATGTCATACAGAATTTTTTATAAAACAAAAGTACTAATTGAAAATTCATTAAAAATATTTCAATAAATTTATATTTAGTTATAATAAATATTTGTCCACAACTAAAACCTAAATGATTATCGGACATTGATTGAGCGAATTGATTCAAACGAATTGTATTACGTATTGATAATGATTGCAGTACATTTCTATCATGACCATTATTTAGTTGTTGTTGTTGTTGTTGTTGTTGATATTGTGATCGTGCAAGCCAATTCATTATCAATAAACAACCACGTTGATTATTATATGGTAGCTGTGCAACTTTTGAATAAAGTATATTTGTAGCCAATAATCCAGATACAATATATAATATAAGACTAATATTAAAAAAATTCATTTCATTTTGTTTACTTAAAAATATACAAATATAAACAGTTGTAATTTTGGAACCAATTTCAACACTGAAAAAAAAATCACTTATCATTTGATTAACAATAAATATATCCTGATTGATAATATAATATTTTCTTATAAATTGACGATAAATTTTCGAATTATAACGAACAAATTGATTCAATGATTGTAATGGTAAAAATATTTGTAAAATTTGTAATCTTAATAATTCAATTAGATAAAGAAAATAACGAAATGAATCCAATATTTCAATAATAAAATAATTACAACGAAATAATAGATTAATCAATAACAATGTATAGATTAACATTGAAATAAATGTTATATTATTAGCCATGAATTCCGAAATGAATGTAAAAATACCAAATAAACCAGATAAAATCAATACGATTAATAATATTTTTAATATTATTTTTGATATAATATGATATATATGAATATAATGAGTATAATAATGAATATATTTTGATTTTAATTGATTATAATCATCAGAATGATAATAATATTTATAAAATAAATTATTAATTTTTAATTGATAATGAAGAATTTTTTGTAAAAAATTTAACCATTGATATTCAAGTATAATAAATATTGGTATTTGTAATTGAAAAAGTAAATCAACACGTTTCAAATGAAATGATTGTTCAAATGATTTGGATATTTTGGAAAAAAATTCACTTGGATATAATGCCAGATGAATACTGAAAAATGTATTGATCCATGAATTTAATGTTAACCATATTGCTAAACGAAATGTTTGATATGATTGTGGAATTTGCCGGCGTTCATAATCATTCAATGAATATTCTAAACGAAATACATAGAATTTTAAAAATTCAAAACAATCATTGATAATATTGCCAATATGAATATCATTTGTTGGTGGATAAAAATTTTGTTGAAATTTTTTTTTTATTGTAGCCATGATTGACTGGATAATAACTGAATGAATGAAGAATCTTTCTTTGGAAATTTGCTGACATTTTATTTAAAGAATGAAGAAGTAGAAATTGATTTGCTTCACAGACAAAGATTCAATCAATTTAATCGAGCAATAGACACAGAATTTTCAAGAAATTCAAGCTTTTTTTTAACCCGGAGAAATATTTTTCCTTTTCATAAATTCAAAAATTGCGCAAAATACACCAACAACAAAAAAAAGTACAAAATACATTTTTTAAATAATTTAAAATCTCAAGGTAAGAATATCTTATATTGATTAATGTTATAAAAGTGAAAAATTTGACAAAAAATTTTATTGTGGAAAAAAATGATTATTTCGGTATTTTATGCTAGACAAATTTTTTTATAAAACAAAATAACCAATACAAAATTCATTAAAAACATTTCAACATATTTAAATTTAATAATAGGAAACATTTGTCCACAACTAAAACCTAAATGATTTTCGGACATTGATTGTGCAAAAAAATTCGAACGAATTTGATTACAAATTGATAAACGTGATGATCGATATAAACGTGATGGTCGATATAAACGTGATGGTCGATATAAACGTGAGGGTCGATATGAATGTCCATAATATTTTTGATATTGTAATCTTGCTAGCCAATTCATTATCGACAGACAACCACGACGATTATAATGTGGTAGCTGTGCTGCACGTGAATAAAGACCATTTGTATAAATAAATAATGATAGAAAATAGATAACAATAATTGTATTAAATAAATTCATTTCAATTTGTTTACTAAAAAATATACTACAATAAATAAATGTAACTTTAGACATTGTTTCAATACTGAAAAAAACATTACTAATCGTTTGATTTAATATGAAAACATCATTATTTAATTTATTATAACCATGTAAAAATCGACCATAAATCGATAGATTAAAACGATAACAACGTATTTTCAATTGTAAATATAATATTATTTGTTTGATTTGTAATTTTAATAATTCAATAAGAAATAAAACATATTTTATAATATTAAATAATTGTCCAACAAGATAATATGAACGTAATAAAAGATTTATTAATAATGGAATATAGATGATCATTAAAACGATGGTTATATCATTATTAAAATATAAAAAAATAAAAATAGTTATACCAAATATACCGGATATAGATAAAACAATAGCCATTACAATATTTAATGTTTTGGTTATAAAATCACCAATATTAATCAAACGAATTAAATATAGACGATATTGAATTTCTAATTGATAATCATCAAAATGATAACGATATTTATAAAATAAATTATTTATACGAAAATTATAATGTAAAATTTTTTTGAAAAAAATAAACCATGGATATTCAAGTATAATAAATGTAAATATTTGTAATTGTAATAATAAATCAATACGTTCAAATTGAAATAATTGTTCAAATGATTGAAATAATTTTATAAGAAAATTGCTTGGAAACAATGCTAAATGAATATTGAAAAAAATATTAATCCATGAATTTAATGTTAACCATATTGTTCGACGAAATGTTTGATATGACCATTTAATTCGTTGTCGTTCATAATCATTTAATGAATATTCTAAACGAAATAGATAAAATTTTAATGATTCAAAACAATCATTGATTATATTGCCAATAAAGATGATTTTTGTTGGATGTATTTGATATAATTGTTCCATTGTTTGGTTGATTGTCTCTGATGATTGTCTGAAGTTTGTTTTGAATATTTTTTCAGAGAAAATTTTGAAATTCTTTTATGAAAATTTTCTGACTAAATCAATAATTGAACTGATACAAAAATATTGATTTTCGAAAAAAATTTTAATGAATTCTTTTTTTGTTGTTGTTGGTCTGATTTTTTTCGCGAAAACATTGATTTGTTTTTCTGGAAATTTTTCTTTTTTTTAAAAATTATCGTTAGAATCGTGATTATCATTTACATTCAAAAATCACCCATTATTCTGATTGCAGATGGATAATGATTCACAATTGACAATCGATAATATCGATAATAGAGAAATAAAAAAAACTGATTGAATCATTAGCATTTTGATGATAATAGAAAACCATTATGTTTGCAATAATAATAAAGTAAGGAAATGAAGATGATTGATTTTATTTTTAAAAATTCAAAATAATTTTAATTTTATTTTTACAAAAATCAATAATATTATTATTTGGTTGATTATGGATCATTTGAATTGTATTTTATGTTAAACAGATTTTTTTATAAAATAAAAGTATTAATACAAAATTCATTATAAATATTTCAACATATTTATATTTACTAATTGGAAATATTTGTCCACAACTAAAACCTAAATGATTTTCGGACATAATTTGTCCGAAAAGATTTGAACAAATTTGATTACGAATAGATATTGGTCGTTTTGGTCGATTATTATTATTATTTTGTTGTTGTTGTTGTTGTTGATATTGTAATCTGGCTAGCCAATTCATTATCGACAGACAACCACGACGATTATAATATGGCAGTTGTGCTGCACGTGAATAAAGACCATTCGTATAGATAAATAATGATAGATAAAATATTATCATAATAATATTGTAGAAATTCATTTGTTTTTGTTTACTATAAAATAAACTACAATAAATAATAGCCATTTTAGACATTGTTTCAATACTGAAAAATGCCAAACTAATTGTTTGATTCAATATGAATACATCACGATTAAGTTTATCATATTTTATACGAAATATTCGATAAATTAGAAAATTAAAACGACAATATTGTATTGAACGTTGTAAACGTAATATTATTTGTTTGATTTGTAATTTTAATAATTCAATAAGAAATAGTAGATATTTGATAATACTAAATAATTGTCCAGTTAAATAAAGTGAACGTAATAATAAATTTATAGCTAAAATAATATAAATAATCAACAAAATGAATGATAAATTTTCATTTATAAAAAATGAAATAAATATTGGAATACCAAACAATCCGGATACAAATAAAATGAATAACATTATTATATTTAATATTTTGGTAAAAAAATTACCAATACAAATTAAACGAATCAAATATTGACGATAATCATTATCTAATTGATTATCATTAAAATGATAACGATATTTACAGAAAAAATTATTTGCTTGAAAGTTATAATGAAGAATTTTTCGAAAAAAAATCCACCATGGATATTCAAATATAATAAATACTGATATTTGAAATTGTAATAATAAATCAATACGTTCAAATTGAAATAATTGTTCAAATGATTGCATTATTTTTCGTAGAAAATTGTTTGGATAAAATGCCAAATGAATGGCAAATAATATATCAATCCATGAATTCAATGTTAACCATATGGCTGTACGAAATGTTTGATATGTTAATGGTATTTGTCGTCGTTCATAATCATCCAATGAATATTCTAAACGAAATAGATAAAATTTTAAACTTTCAAAACAATCATTGATTATATTATCAATGTGAATGTTAGTATTTGTTGGATAATAAACTAATAGATTTATTATTTGTTTCATCATCATCATCATCATTTCTTGTTGTTGTCTAAATGAAGTCTGATTCGAAAGTTTGTTTTGAACAATATTCTTTCATCAACAAAAACAAATAACAAACAAACAAATGGCAATAATAATGGGAAAAAATACATTTGATCGATAATTTGGATTGGACCGAGGTAAAAAAAATATTTATATTTACTTCCAAATTCGATCATTAATGATCATTTTATCAATTGTCTGGTTTTTATGGCAACCATTAAACATTGATTGATTGTTTTCGGAAATTGATTACATTTACAAAAAAAAATCTTTTTTCTTTTCAAACACAATATGGATATGAGAAAGGCAATAATATTGATCTGTATTGGAATTTTTTTTTTGTTTTGATTGAAAAATATTTTTCAATCAATCATTACAAGGTAACATTTAAAAGATAGATTTTCTTATAAAACAACAAGACAAGTACAAAATTCATTAGAAATAATTCTAAATATTTATATCTTGTAATAAAAAAAATCTGACCACATGTAAAACCAAATTGATTTGTTGAAATTTTTTGTACAAATAAATTTGATTTAATCATTTGTTTGAGGTAAAATAATCGATTACAATTGAAAAGTGAATATTTTCTTCGTTGTCGTTGTTGTGAATTTGCAATCAAATTTAATAATTTTTTACAAACATTTTGATTATAATATGGTAATCTTGCCAATAATAAATATAAACCATTTGATGATAAAAATGTTGATAGAAAAAATGATAATATAATAAAATTATAAATATTCCATTCATTTTGTTTACTTAAAAATATTGTCATCAATATAATACCAGATTTGGAAATTGTTTCAAAACTAAAAACAACACCACTAATTGTTTGATTTAATATTGATATTTCATTATATAATTGATCATATGATTGAATGAATTTTGACCATGATGATGATAATGATTGACAATTAATTGTAATTAATTTTATTTGTAAAATAAATAATTCAATCCAAAATAATAAAAATTTCATTGCATCAAATAATTGTCCCAATAAATAGATTAAACGTAACAATAAATTTATTATAAATATTGTTAATAATAACATTTTCCATACGGTTATATCATCATCATCATCATTATTATCATTATTTAGGAAAAATTTCCATAAATTACAAAGGCCAAATGAAAATGATAATAAAATTATAAACAACATTATAAAATTCAATGATTTTGTCATTAGATTACCAATCCAAATAAACCGGATTAGATAACGATTTTCGATAATTAATTTTTGATTATTAAATTTACTTAAATATTTGATAAACAATTCATTTGGTCGAAATTTATAATGCAGAATTTTCCTGATCAATATAAACCAATGATATTCTAATATTATTAATATTATTATTATAAATAATAATAATAAATCAATATGTTGACATTCGAAAAATAATCTGGATAATTTTTTAAATGATTTTAATAAAAATTTATTTGGTTGATTATATTGATAAATTATAAATGCAATATTAAGCCATGAAATTATTGTCAATAATATTGTTAGTCGAAATGTTTGAAAATTCCATTGAATCTTTCGATGTTTATAATCATCTAATGAATATTCTAAACGAAATATATAAAATTTTAAACATTCAAAACTTTCATTAATAATATTATTAATATTAATATTTTTATTTGTTTTTAATGAATATTTTTCAATCATCATATTCATTGATGATGAGATAATGTGAAAATTATTTAGTAAATTTTTCATTTTTTTGTTTTATTTGACTGGTTGAATCACTATAACAAAGTAAAGTTGTTGTTTTTTTTTTGAATCTATTTCTCAATGCGTTTATAAACTTTTGTTTTTGTTTTTTGTTTTTGAAAAAAAAATTCAACATTGTACAGTTTCCTTTCGGGTTATCGATTTTAATCGAAATTTAGTTGATCAATATTTCTAAGGCGGCGGTCCCACTTGAACAAACTAAAAAAACTAGTTTGCCGGATCATGCTTGCTTGATATGTTAAACTCGCCAGTTTGTCAAATCGCAAACTTTTCCCGTTTTCTACTTCCACAGTGCATTTTTCGGTTTAGTCTGTTTGTTAGTTTTTACAAGTGGGACCACGGCCTAATTTTACCGAAGAAAACAAAAACAACAGCAAAATATTTTCATTTGATAATTTAATCAAAAAAAAAATATATTTACAAAAAAAAAAATTCACAAAATCAATGAAATGATAATGATCATTTTTTTAAATGACGTTTTTCACTTTTTCATTCATCATTTTCGAATGTTTTGAAATTTTTTTTTTTTGAGAAGAAAAATGAAAAAATTTTCAATTATTTAAATAAATCGATTGAAAATATGATTAGAAAAGAAAACCCATCGGAATGAAATCATCAAACATTGTTTAAGGGAAAAACAACTTAATGCAATCATCGTTGATTATCTATGGCTAATTTTATAAATAAAAAAAAATTTAAAAAAAATCTCAGGTTGTTGTTGGTAACCAGAAATTTTTTGAGTTTAGATTTAGATATGATGGAAAATTATGATGGTAGGCGTTTCATAATACACACACACACACACACACACACACAATCATTATCATCAATCAATCAAACATCATCAAAACAAACAAACAAACAAACAAACAAAAATGACAAACGAATTTGAAAATGTAGAACTATATGATGAATTTTATGAATGTCGCCCTGCATATTTGGATGTAAATGATATTGATACATCATCATTGGAATCAATAATATCATCATCAAATGATTCGAATGATTTAAACAACAACGACATTGATGATGATAATTATCAACAAATACTAATGAATACAAAAGAATCATTAAAAACATATGTTATAATTTCATTATTAGAAAATTGTCGTTTATATTTACCAAAACAATATGATGAAATTGTTTATCTTAGTTCCGGGCAACAAGGTGTATTGTGTGCTGCACGTGATCGTTTAACCGGTAAAATGGTTGCTATTAAAAAATTTGATCATCCATTTGAACATATTGATAATGTTGAACGTTTATTACGTGAATTTCGTATATTAAAATTTGTTAATCATCCAAATGTTATGATGTTGTTGGATGCATTTCCCGGTCGTGCACAATCATTAATTGAATTTGAAGATGTATATTTGGTTACAGAATTAATGGATTATGATTTATCAATTATTTGTAATGATCGAAAACATTTTCTTAATCATTCAGAAATTGCTGAAATTATTTATCAAATTCTTTGTGGTATTCAATATCTTCATCGTATTGGTCTTGTACATGGTGATTTATCACCAGCCAATATTGTTATTCGTAATAATCGATTTGATGATCATTTAGAAGTAAAAATTATTGATTTTGGTCAAACAAAATTATCATATCGATCATCATCATCATCGATTAATAACAGCAACAAACATCAATCATCGTTATTATCGACACGATCATATCGTGCACCTGAAGTTTTATTAAATATGGATAATCATTTTGATTTTCCAATCGATATTTGGTCAATCGGGTGTATAATGTTTGAATTATTAAGTAAAGATGTACTTATTCAAGGTATTAGTGATTATCATCAATGGAAACATATTGAATCAATATTGGGTAATCCAAAAGATACATTTTTACGACGAATACGTTCAAGTATACGTAATATACTTGGTAGACAACAACGATCAACGAATCAACGAAATAGAATTGATCAAATTTTCAATATAAAATGTGAATCAAATGATGAAAATGAATATTTTAATGAACAGGCAAAAGATTTATTACAACGAATATTAGTTGTTGATCCACGTGAACGTATAACTGTAGATGATGCATTAAAACATCCATATTTTAAGGCAAGAACAAATTCCAAATTACCACAACAAGATGATGATGATAATAATGATGATGATGATGAACAAAAAATGGACAATAATCAAAACAATTTCGAACAAATTATCGAATATCGTGAACCATTCAACGACAGTATCGATACTATCGATACTCTTTCCGATGATGAACAATATCAATATTGGAAAAAATTATTATTCGATGAAATTCGTCTATTTCAACATAAACATCGACAACAAATTCGACAAACATTAAATTCTATTATTTGAAACAATTTTTGTTTAAAATGTTCTAAATTTTTTTTTTGTTTTGTTTTGTTTTGTTTTGTTTTTTTAAAATAAAAAATAAAAATTCAATGATGATTGATGATGTCATGAAAAAAAACGTGATCGATTGTTATGATGATGATAATGATAAAATGAATGAGCTAAATGAATGAGCCCAAATTGCCTTATAATCAAATTTATTCATGAATAATGTTGATGACCATGATGACCATGATGATATATTGATAACAAACAAGATATAAATGTCAAAGAGTAAATCTTTCTGACAAGATTCTAATCAAACGTCACGTCGTGTCCATAAATGATGATGATTTTGATTTTGAATTTGATTCTTTGGGCCACGATTTTCAGTTTTTTTTCTGTTCTCTGGTATCTCTCAAATTTCAATGTTATTATTGTTATTGTTTGGATCACATGTTAGATGATTAAACATCAAACATTATAGTTATCATTCAAATTCAATCTTTTATTGTTTATCCATACGGATGATTTTTCTCTTGATCATATCTAATCAGGATGATGATGATGATGATGATTGAATTATTACCATGGGAAAACTTTATCAACATCTTTATACAACAACAACAACAACAGCAAGGTCATCATCGCAACAACAACATAATGGCTGATCGGTAATGATGATAATCTATTGTAAAACATTGATCTAATCACTTTATTTATTTATTTATTCATAATCTAGTAACTACAAACAAACAAACAAACAGATTGATTCCCAGATGAATCAAACACCATTATTGTATTATTATTTTGTTTCTGATCGTGTTTGAAAGAATTTTAAATTATTTAATCCAAAAAAATCCAAACAGCATTATCCAAACAATATCCTAACTAATGTTAATATTGAGCCTATGATATTGATCATCATTTTGGAATATTTCACGTTTGCTGTTGTTGTTGTTGTTATTGAATCACAATCGATTTTTAAAATTTCATTATCTTATCGATTATAGAATCATCAATTCTAATGAAAAACTTTTATATAAAAAAAATTGAACAATAATTAGGCAGCTTGCCTAAATATAATTCATCATTATTAATAATAATATTGAGCCTTAACTGGTTTTGACCAGTTTTGAATAGCCTATGATATTGATCATCATTTTGGAATATTTCACGTTTGTTGTTGTTGTTATTGAAGCATTCACAATCGATTTTTAATATTTCATAATTTTATCGATTATTGAATCATCAATTCTAATGAAAAACTATAAAAAAAATTGAACAATAATTGCCTAAATATAATTCATCATTATTAATAATTCAACCAATGACAAATGATTTTTAGTGTTTTTTCATTTCGCAAAAAGTTAATAATATTCATTGACGAAAAAGAAATAATGATCTCTTCATAATAATAATTTTACCGGCATATTTTTTTTTCCCTGAGAACTATTATGGGCAAATATCGATCTTTATTGAATTTTTTCTTTAGAAAAAAAATCTTTGTCTTATTTTTTATTCGCGATCAAAAAAATATATGAAATTAAACATTTCCTAATCAGTATTCATTCATAAAACAACGAAAGATAATAATAAATAATAATGAAAATGATGAAACGAATATTAAACCTTATTTATTCAACAAATTATATTCGTTTTGGCAATGTTGTTCAAGATTGTTTTGAATCATTAAAATTTTATATATATCGTTTAGAATATTCATTTGAAGATTATGAACAACGAAAAATACAATGGTCATATCAAACATTTCGTCGAACAATATGGTTAGCATTAAATTCATGGATCAACATATTTTATATTGTTCATTTAGCATTTTTTCCAAATTATTTTCTATGGAAATCATTAAAATCATTTGAACGTGCATTTCAATTTGAACGTGTTGATTTTCTTTTACAATATCAAATAACCATGTTTATTATAGTTGAATGTTTATGGTTTAAGTTTTTAAAAAATATTCTTTCCTATAATTATCCAGTAAATAATTTAATGCAAAAATATGCTTATTATTT